AAGAGCTTCTTAACATCCGCTAGCTGTCGGAAGGGCACTGGGCATCATCTCAACGCAGGCCAGCCTCGGCCAGCCTCGTTGCATCCCACGACTATGTCTTAAAGCAACAGGGGGGTTGTTTTTTTGGGTCCGCTCCCTTAGCAACGACCTTTCTAAAGCAGGTGGGCACCTGGCGGGTCGGTTTGTTCCTGCAGACAAAGCAAGTTGTGATCAAAAAAGATGTCGACCCGCTGAGGCCATGTCCCATACCGGAACTCCCGCCTGACAATGCTGCTGAAAGACTCCCTTGGCGGCGATGCTAAGGCGAGCAGTTCAAAGTCGTGCGGAGGCATAGCAACCAGTCAACGCACAAGATCCAAGCGCAAACATCCGCGTGTTTGGAACAGCCCACCGGCCCAGAGGTATGATACATGTAGCATTTAAAAGTACATTCCTCAGGCCCTTGCACCCGTTCTACCTCGATCTGAGGAAACAGTGTTGCAGGGGGATGCCAGCAACCCGCCAGCTGTCATGGCCATGCAAAGCAGACGAGTCTCTCAGGCGAAACACATGCACATACTGTTGACAGAGGGCTTGCCCAGTGCTTCCAAGTCCCATTACAATAGGTAACCCAAAACAACCGTCATTTGAAAACAAAAGGACTTGTCCATGGTTACCTACTATAGTGGTAAACTGGCATTCCTGGAATTGTGCTCCATGATTCCTGTTTAGCATCCTAACCAGGGCAAGTCCCTCCCCCACCAGGGTCACCAAATCATGTATTGCACATTGGAGTGTCTCTTCCACCAGCCTGTGTTCAAGTGGTTGCACAAGCTCATAAATCAGATCGGCTTGGTGGATATTTAAGATTTAATAACGATATAGCTACATCAGCTTGATTCCCGGCTTCAAAGGCGCTATTCTTTAAATTTGACTTCTTGCAGAGAATGTGTGAAGCAGAGCCTACAATATGGTGCACATGGCACCCAGAAACTCTTTGGCGTCGCATGCGCAAATTCCGAAGGAGGGGTATCTTTGCGCCAACCATCAGGTTAGGATTTAGACCACCTACTGTGCGTTTGGTTTGCAGCTTCGCCTTGAACGGTTCCCCAGCTCAAATCTTTGGAGTCTGCGGCAGGCGCTGATGTTCGTGAACGTGTCGCCCTGCCTGAGTCAGCTGCCAGAGACGCTGTCCTCCCTGCGCTTTGCGGCCAAGGCGCGGTAAGGCCCGCGCTCATTCAAGCGCCTGCTTCGGGGCGCTTTGCGGGTTCCAGAGAAATTAAATGGGTTTGTCTGAAAATAGTGGAACCCAATTCCTTGGTAGGTTTCTCTTTGTTTTCCTTCAAGACCAACCCATAAAGATCTCGCGGAGACATACACTATCATACACTGGGCATTTGACCCTGTTTTGTGAGTGGCGAAGGGAGTCCCCTCAGTTTTAAATTAGCTACATTTGCCCAGTATGTCGGTACGCGCTTCCAGCAGCTTCAATTACCCGCCGATTTCTGATGAGAGATATGTCCATTCTGTGCATGGAACCTTGCAAACACCTGTCATCGTGTACCTAGTTTGAGACGGACGCCCTGACGCACACGTAGAACCAGGATCGCTGAGTGATGAAAGAGGCTGAGGTGAAAGGTCTTGTGGCTCCGATTCTTCATGGCACGGTTGGCAACACACACACACAAACACACACCTCCCAATATCCAACTAGTGTCTTTTTTGCAGCCCGGCAGGGAATTCAGGTGGCACTGGATGGGAGCCTGAACGTCTAGGGAGGGCAGGGGGCATAGCGTTGACAGCCTCTTATTCACAGCTCATCCTCACCTACTTATCATTCGTTGCAGTTCATTCTGGATCCAAGGGTGTATGGGCCATTCCTTCTACCTCGATGTTTCAACTGCATGTATGCTGGCACTGAAAACTAAAATGCATTTGTGTGTGTGTGTGTGTGTGTGTGTGTGTGTGTGTGTGTGTGTGGGGGGCTTGCTGTGTCCAATCGTTGCTCACTGATTGACACCGGGAATTGATGCTTTTTGAACACTGTTGCGCGAGTTGCATCGATAAGCTTCTCGAGCTTCCAGAGCATACCGCCAAGATCTAAACAGAGACGCTTCTTGTTTTCTGCGCGTCTATGATTAATGATAGATACATAGTGTTGATCTGAACCTTCGAATCACAAGTTGATTCGACAGGTGCTGGAAAATTCCTGTTTCTGCATTATGCGCACGTATTACATATGATTTTCTGTATGATATTTGATCTACCCACAGGTCAGATGCGGATTTCTCCAAAGGGGATTCCTTTTTTCACACCCTTCTGTGTCCCAGCAAACGAAGGTGTGTGTGTGTGTGTGGGTGCGTGCGTGCGTGCGTGCGTGCGTGCGTGCGTGCGTGCGTGCGTGCGTGCGTCTTTGTGTGTGTGTGGGTGCGTATGTCTGTGTGTGTGAGTGTGTGAGTGTGTGTGTGTGTGTATGAGTGCGCGCGCGCGCGTGTGTGTGTGTGTGTGTGTGGGTGTGTGTGGGTGTGCGAGTGTCTATCCATGAGATAATCCCCATTTGGGGGAGGTTTCACTTTGAATTCCTCCAAATAGACCTCAAATGCTCAGTTGAGGTTTCCGGCCTCTCGATTCGTTCCAGGTTCACGCGTGCGAGGTGGGCTTGGCAAGGCGCCATGTGGAGGCGGGGTCCGGTGAAGGCTTGCCTTGTTGCCCCTGGTGCTAAATAAGCAGCGCCGAGCACCGTTGGCCATTTGATTCGGTGTAATTCTACCAGCTGGGATTCGAGTTTACATGTAAAGCCTCTGGAAACCTTGTCGCCATGTTAGCAGCTAATATTAGCAACCAAAGGTCAATGGGTTTTGGCGCTTCTCAAGTGTATTTTGTTGAGAGCGCCCTTTTGACGTCCCTTTAAAGGGAAGCGAAAAGAACGTCCCCGTTCGGAGTCAAACCTGAACAGCCGATAACTGTTTATTCTCCTAAAACAAAACCAACACTTTTTCCCTGGCAGACCTGGCTAGCAAGCTTTCCGTTTGGGAGGGGGGGTGGGGTCACAAAGGCAAGCCCTGTCTTGAACGCCTGGCCCACAGGGCTGACTCAAATTAGACTCGCTCTGAGCCCGAGTTCGCATCCTTGCAGAGGAAGCTCCTTTTAGAGGACTCCTTGTTTTGGGCCCGTTCACAAGGAAGATCTCCCGGCAAGTGTTCTTGTCTGCCAGATGTAGGTATGTTCTTCTTTTTATTTGGTCCTTGTGTGGGAATGGTCATTCCTGGAAGCCCCAGGTGCAGTCGAGCAAAACGGCCAGAGAAACTCGGATCACAGGCTCTTGCGGCTCCTTTTGGCACATGTTTTGTGGGAGACTGTTTCAGCGGAGTCGCAATGTGAACGCAACCATTTGAGCTGTCCCACTGGAATCCAGTGAATCCAGTGTCTACATGGAATATGGAATGCCCTTGTCCTGCCTCGGTCCCTGTCCACTTCAACATCGTTGGGTTGATTCCAGTCTGGCGCGGAGGACGCAAGCAGGGCAAAGGAGAGCAGGCAGGTGTGGGGAAGGGATTTATTGGGTCAGCGTGAGCAATGGCCAAATGTACAATGTCTAGCCGCTTTCGATGAATCTTGAGCTGCCAAAGTTTTGAGAAGCCCCGCACCTTGAGGTGGGTCTTAGGCAAGTGGGCGTAGCTAGCCCTTAAAACTGATCCCCTAAACAAGGCCAGAGATCATAATTTCATGGCTTAGGGGATTTTCGTTCGCCAATGATATACGCATGTTTGAGTGCCCAGTCATTGCTGGTGACTTGTCGAGCCCTGATTATTGCCTTAGGGAATTTCACTTTACTTGAACAAGGGGTGGGGTCCCCTTTGCGACAGACCCCGATTGGTGAGGGGCCTTTGCTTTGTAGCAAGGATGCCCTATACCCCACTTTGCTTTTGCTACAGGGTGACGAATGGCTTAGCCGCGACCGTGTGGTTTTGGCGGGGCTGTGATTGAGCCATGGCTACGCTCCTGCAGACGCCAAAAGGCTATGGACTTGTCTCTTTGCAGGTCTACAGAAACTCTCTCCCAGAGTTCATGGACTCCAGTCACCTTTTGGGCAGACCGTCCCGAGATCCATGTCTTCCGTCCAATCAGCAATTGAGCAAACTGTTGCACAGAACCATTTTGATGGGTTTTGGGCCTATTCAACAGGTCCCAAGCTTAGAGTTATGGTTTAAGCAAAGCGAGATCCAAAAAACACCAATTAACAGCAGTCACCCTTGCGACCAACTGAGATTGCTGGACAACAGCCTCTGTTTGGTTCACCTTCGAAGCTGACAGGGATGTGCGTCTTGGGCTACCCCCTCGGCTAGATATCATTGAGTCACTGTTAAAGCAGCCTCCCTTTGGTTTACCTTAGGGACCTTTCTGACTTAGACAGTTTTCCCCCCCTCGGGGTCTTCTAACGAAGGCACTCGCTTGGCATCTATTCGCTTCGAGGTGCTCAAACTGGCAAATTGCCATCGACTTGCCATCGGGTTCCTGTGGTTTGCGAATGTTTTTGGACGCCAGGAAGGTTCCTTTGGAATTTGTGCGTGTTTTGGGTTTGCCGGCGTGAAGTGGCTGTTGCTTCAAACAGGTGCACTGCATCCTCGCACGGTGCGGGGGTAAGGATGATCATGAAGCAGCTTCAAATGAACGTGTCATGCTTTAAGTCTCCCTTGCAATGTGCATGGAAAACAATAGGCGACTTGCAAAGGCGATACGCTGGCAAAATATCAAAAGCTGGAAGTTGACAGACAAATCACTAAACGTGGCATGACTACACTGAGTAGATCATTTTGACCGCAGATAGATCAGACAAATGTGGTTTGTAGCCAGTTTCCCCCACTTGTTTTCCCGAAAGCATGGCGAAGGGTTCTTCCGCTGGGTTCACTTGAGTTGTTCTCATGAGAGTCATTACATGGTGTCATTGCAAGGTGAAAGTCATTGCAAGGAGTCATTGCAAGGAGTCATTGCAAGGAGTCATTGCAAGGAGTCATTGCAAGGAGTCATTGCAAGGAGTCATTGCAAGGAGTCATTGCAAGGAGTCATTGCAAGGAGGCAAGGAGTGCAAGGAGTCATTGCAAGGAGTCATTGCAAGGAGTCATTGCAAGGAGTCATTGCAAGGAGTCATTGCAAGGAGTCATTGCAAGGAGTCATTGCAAGGAGTCATTGCAAGGAGTCATTGCAAGGAGTCATTGCAAGGAGTCATTGCAAGGAGTCATTGCAAGGAGTCATTGCAAGGAGTCATTGCAAGGAGTCATTGCAAGGAGTCATTGCAAGGAGTCATTGCAAGGAGTCATTGCAAGGAGTCATTGCAAGGAGTCATTGCAAGGAGTCATTGCAAGGAGTCATTGCAAGGAGTCATTGCAAGGAGTCATTGCAAGGAGTCATTGCAAGGAGTCATTGCAAGGAGTCATTGCAAGGAGTCATTGCAAGGAGTCATTGCAAGGAGTCATTGCAAGGAGTCATTGCAAGGAGTCATTGCAAGGAGTCATTGCAAGGAGTCATTGCAAGGAGTCATTGCAAGGAGTCATTGCAAGGAGTCGTCATTGCAAGGAGTCATTGCAAGGAGTCATTGCAAGGAGTCATTGCAAGGAGTCATTGCAAGGAGTCATGTCATTGCAAGGAGTCATTGCAAGGAGTCATTGCAAGGAGTCATTGCAAGGAGTCATTGCAAGGAGTCATGGCAAGGATTGCAACTTGCGCTTGACTCCTTGCACTTGCAACTTGCACTTGACCCTTGCACTTGCAACTTGCACTTGACTCCATGCACTTGCAACTTGCACTTGACTCCATGCACTTGGCTGCACTTGGCTCCTTGCACTTGGCTCCTTGCACTTGGCCCCTTGCACTTGCAACTTGCACTTAACTCCGTGCACTTGCGACTTGCACTTGACTCCATGCACTTGGCTCCTTGCAACTTGCAATGGCTCTCATGACTCCTTGCAATGACTCCTTGCAATGACTCCTTGCAATGACTCCTTGCAATGACTCCTGCCATGACTCCTTGCAATGACTCCTTGCAATGACTCCTTGAAACAAGCAAGGAGTCAAGTGCAAGTTGCAAGTGCAAGGGGTCAAGTGCAATTGACTTGCGAGGAGTTAAAATCTCTTCTTAGGGCGGCGGGGTAGTGCCGACGACACTACACGAAAATCGACCCTCTGCGGGGATCGGCGTGGTCGAGGTGCAAAAACCCATGGTTTTTTGCGATTTCTAAAGTTCCCGCGCGACCCTCTGCGGGGATCGGCGTGGTCGAGGTGCAAAAACCCATGGTTTTTTGCGATTTCTAACCTGCTCGCGCGACCCTCTGCGGGGATCGGCGTGGTCGAGGTGCAAAAACCCATGGTTTTTTGCGATTTCTAACATGCTCGCGCGACCCTCTGCGGGGATCGGCGTGGTCGAGGTGCAAAAACCCATGGTTTTTTGCGATTTCTGCGGTGCTCGCGCGACCCTCTGCGGGGATCGGCGTGGTCGAGGTGCAAAAACCCATGGTTTTTTGCGATTTCTGCGGTGCTCGCGCAACCCTCTGCGGGGATCGGCGTGGTCGAGGTGCAAAAACTCGAGGTTTTTTGCGACTTTTGTTGTTCGAACTGGTCCTCGGGAGTTGTCTCGTGGTTCGCGCGCCTGCTCCCGGAACCGGCGGGTCGCGGGTTCGATTCCTCCCTGGTCCGCGGGCGGGCGTCGCAAGATGCAACTTGCATTTTAAAGCAACTTGCGCAGAGCAACTTGCGCAGAGCAAGTTGCACAGAGCAACTTGCGCAGACCAACTTGCACCGACCAGTTTGCGCAGAGCGCCTTGCCTAGAGCAACTTGCGCAGAGCAACTTACGCAGAGCAACTTGCACAGAGCAACTTGCACAGAGCAGCTTGCACAGAGCAACTTGCAGGGAGCGCAATTTGCACAGAGCAACTTGCAGGGAGCCACTTGCAGGGACCAACTTGCCGGAGCAACTTGCGCGGAGCAACTTGCGCAGAGCAACTTGCACAGTGCAACTTGCGTAGAGCAACTTGCGCAGACCAACTTGCACCGACCAGTTTGCGCAGAGCACCTTGCCTGGTGCTGTCTCGCGCTTGCTTCACAAATGCTTCGTGTAGGGAAAAAGAACGCATCCTGCAGCGTTGGGCCGACCTCGCTTGCGATGTTCTGCTTTCGGGCCAACCGTGGTCTAGTTGTTTTGAAGGGTTTGCCAGCGGACTGCGGAGAGCCCGGCTTTTTTGCTTCGATCAGATGCGAGATTTAATACATGCATTGGGCATGTGAATGTGGTTGCGTTCCTCTTATTTGTGTCTCCTAACATGGCACCTGGCAGGGGTCCCTTGAAGAAGAAATTGATCGTTCAGGTAGCCAGGTGCTTCGGCGTTGTCAATGGTTGATTTCGGAAATTCAGATGCTGTGCGCGTCGCAGAGGTCATAGCTTCATGATCCAGGCTTACCATGGTCTGGCAAATTCGGGTTTCACCTTTGCATCAGCTTCAGCCCCAGGCAAATCTTGTAAAGCCCAAGATTCAGTGACTAACAATAATGGAACCACCAATTTTGGTGTTTTTACCATTTTATCCCAAACAGGTAGCATACGCGTGGCATACTCATGTCGACCTTGTCCAAGAGCTGCCGTGTTTTCGTTTGTGTTTGGATATCCTGATGCACCCGTGTTGGCCAGTGTTGCAGTATGCACTGTTGCTGTTTATGGTCTGTGACTGTCGTGAATTGCAGCACTGGCAGAGACTTTTCTGGCATTTGATCAAGTATCAAGAGACCCCTCGTAGAAGGCAACTGAAGGGGTGAAATTATAGACATGATAGGGCTATGTTTCAGTTTGTGCGGGTTGGAGTTGCCTGCATCTATCAACATACTCCCCTCCCCTAAGAATACACCGTCCCCCCTTTGTTTTGTGAAGCGGATTTTATTATTAGGTTCCCTGGGTTATGGGCCAGAGCCGTTTCAGACTGCGTTGTTTAGTACTGGCATCACACAGGAAAAGGGGCACCCCTTTGATTTGCAGAAAAATAAGTGTTCAACATACGGTTTCCGAGTAAAAACTTTAAAGATAAGGCGCCCTTGTTTGTATTCAAAAGAAACCCAATGAGAAGCACCTTGGTTTGTTTTCAATAAGAGACCTTCTGAAGGGAAAGTCTTGGAGACCATAATAACAACCTTGTCACGCAAGGCAACCCTTTTGGATTGAGGGAACAAGTGCTCAGAATACAGCTTTTGAGCAAGACCAGGGCGACACCAACAAGCACATCTGCAGAGTTTCTCTGTGTCGATCTGGCTTTGGGAGAATTTAGTATTGGTGTAGTATTGGGTAATTTCCAATAAGTCTTGGCAATTTTGGAGGTTGGCTGGGGGGTTTATTACTAGGGGAAGGTTGAAAAATAGGGATTACCAGGCTTTCTTGGCTTTGGCGAGCAGGGAATGGCGTGGCAAGGGAGCTTCCAGATAGGGTGGCTTTGCGGGCGCATGTCAACCAGACACGGGCAATTAGAAGTCTGGTCTGGCGGCTGGTTTGCTTGTACAGGCAATCTGGGTGTGGTTTTTTGATGTTACCCTTTCGGGATCTTTTGGGGTTACAGGGAGACTTAAAGGATACCACCCAGTTGTTGGGCGTATTTGTCAAAGCGACATGTTTCGAAACCTCTGCAGTCCTTGGAGCAACCAACCCCTGAAGTTGCATCGGGAACTTGGTAGCATAGGCTTTCTTCGCCGTGGCTGAAGTCTGCGAGTGTTTGGCTGGCAGCGACATCCTCTGATTTTATGCAGTCGCCACAGGGCTGGCAAAAATGGAGGCCCCCAAATGAATTGAAACTTTGGTAAACCTGGAAGCGCAAACCTTCTTTCCCATGGGGCAACACGGGCCAACTGCTGTTTGATCAGAATCAGCGCCTATATGTGCACCTGCTGGTCGCTTTTGTGTGCGGGCAAAGGAGGCTTTTGTGTGTGCCGGCGAAGGAGGTTAAGCAGGGTGGTCAGATTGTGGCTCATGTGGCCTTAGTTCCACTTGCTGGACTCAGAGGTTGTCTGAAATCACGGATTATTCACGTTGATGCTGGCGTCAATCAAATGTACCGGGAAGGGGCATAGCGGCATAATGGATGCCCTGGTTGATATACACCGTGATTGTGAGTTTTGCCGTGCACATCAAACGCCCTGCTCCAGCTAAGAGCTTCTAAAAGGGGATACTTGCCGCTAAAATTCCACGAGTGGTTTGTACGAATTTGTTGCACTCTGCTGGCATCAGGGCTGGCATCCGTCGCCTGGCTGTTCCACTTTGCAGCCCGCTCCCACTAATTCCAGTAGCTTCGACTAAAAGGTTTTGAGAGGGCACTCGCTGAGACTTGTTTTGCTTCAGGCACACTGACAAACGCAAAGCCTGCCAGGACAAAAGTAACCAAGTGCGAGAAGCTCCGCGAACAGAAATTGGGGTCCGTTCAAAGGAGTCGACTGGATGCAACAAACCTATTGGTTAGCCCAATCATATGTTCGGTATCTAAGAATTGCTGCTTGTAGACTGTAGAGGATGGTGCTGCCATGTGCATGTATTTGCAAGTAGTGCAGCTGAATTCACTCTGACGGCCTCACAGACTCACTTTTTTTGCAGCTGAAGAGTGTACTCGATGAAATGCAAAATCCAATGCTTTCAGTTTTTTGCCCGTCTGTTCCTGATGGTGAGATTGCCAAGACTTAAGACCTAGAGGAATGACTACATGGAACTGTTTTGAGAAGCACACTGGGTCTTTTTCGGATAGATCCTCTGAGAAGCACATGCTTCCATGGCTAAAAATTATGGGGGGCAGCTACAGGGACCTATCTAGGGAAGCATCTTTCGAGTTGCTTAATGTTAGGCCAATCATCTTGTTCAATGTTTGTGGGTGATCTTGGCATTGGCTGCAGAGACGTCGGATAATTCAAGAGGCTCGCCGGCTTTGTGAGTGGCGAACCGCCGTCGGAAAAGGGTCAACAAGCTGCGCCTGACGTTGGAAGTCTAGGAGCCCTTCAGGTTGTGCCAGGCCAAAATGAAGCCGACTCATGGTTGTCAGGTTTCCCAACTGCGTCCACTAAAGCGAATGCACCTTGTCATAGGAAGCTATCATGAAGCGAAGGCAAACTTTAAGAGACTTGGCAGACGGTCGCCAAGCAGGTGGGATGACGCATATTTGCACATTGTAATTGTAGCTTGCAAAGCAGACATCGGCACACACAATACCCTAACTACCAATAAAAAGGCCTCCAGGAGTCCAGCATGTGAGAAACAACACGGGGTTTTGGAAGTAGGGTATCCATAAGCGAGGCCCCATTTCAAGGCCTCCCGCATGTGGGAAGCAGTGTTGGGAGTGAAGATTTGGAACCAAGTGCCAACCGGGTGAAAGGCGGTAGGGTTCAGTCAAGAATACAGGGGGAAGTCGCTTGTCTTCCAACACGGATTTGCCCACTTCTATGTTTGTAGGCAAGACAGCATGTCCACGTTGGACCTTTGGCCGCCTGCTTGATCCCTGCCGGCTCAGCTGCAATCCCGCGGTTCCTCCATCGCGTCCGTGGCCAGGCCCGTTGGATGGCGTCAAGTAAGCCATTGGGGAGGTGTCTTAGGACACCCATGGCATGTCATGGGGCCCACAAGTATGGAACTTGGACCCTTTGAAGATACCAGAAGCTTCCCAGAAGGTGACCCACCTCTTTGCTGGTCTCTCCCCGTCCACTCGATGCATCCTTTAATCCTTTGGATTTGGTCAGGCATGGCTCGTTGGGTCGCTCTTGCCGCCGGGGTGCCCAAGAGTGCGGGGCATCCACGACGGGTTCAGAGTTAGCAGAAATGCATTGGGAGAGCCGTCAATCCGTGGTTTAAACTCTGGCAAGTTTAGGGATGGGAAGCCTGGAGTTCGGAATTTCAGCATATCTTCGACAATTCCATCGTTTTAGTCGAGTGTTTCGCATACTAAGTTGGTCTCCAGCAGGAATTGCCAATGGTTTTGTCACGCCAAGGGAATCCCCTTTAAAGTGACATTACGATTTTCGCACAGACATTCCCCGTGTTGCCGTCGGAAGGCGTTTGCTCTTTGCTCTCCCATGTTCATGTTTGTACCCTGTTGGCTCTTGAGTGCAAGCCCAGGGAGGGAAGGCTGAGCGGATTTATCCTCACAAGGGGCATCCGACGGATCATGCAGTGGGCATCCCCAGTTCCCTCTTTGTCCGGTTTCACTTAAAGCTTATTGTTTTGGCCTGCGGCTGGGTAGCTACTTGTAGGGATGTTTCGTTGGCAGTCGTTTTCTGCTTTGTCTTGTGGGGCCTTACCTTTGTTGACGTAGCAAAGCACCGAATGTATTGGTTTTAAGCTCGAATGTTTATTACTATTGTGGGTCAAACAAAGTTGAGAGTTTACCACTGTTAGTTTCACAACTGGCCGTGGCTCAACAGACCGGTACCAAAATGGAACCCTGGTAAGTGGAAACATGGACCAAAACCTGCGTAACCCCCCCTGTCTAATTTTGAGCCACACCCAACTGTTGGCAGATGTCAAGTTGTGTTTACTGGCAGGAGCGACCAATCGTCAGGAACTTGGGCCAAGTCGAGCCTTTCACAGTGGCTTCCTTTTTGCAAAACACTGGAAGTGTGTTTGTGTCCCATGGCATGTTAGCGGGAGAGCGGGTACTGTAGACATCAGCGTGAAGGCCAAACTATTGCCCCCTCCCAGAATTGCACAACACTCTTGTAAACATGTTTCCTGGTTCAGACTCTTGAAAAGCTGGAATCTTTTCTTGCATTAACAGCCAATCCTCAGCAAAGACTGGTAAAAATGCAGAAGCAACCGTCAATGGAACACCTGAATGTTTTCCGGGATCGGTGATTGCTTTTGCAGTTTCTCGGCTTGTCCAATGATTTCTGTCTCAATATATGCGTGTGCGGTAAACACGATAAAGACTATGTTTGGCGTTCTTGCATTCCAAGCAACCACCAAAACACACAAAGGAGTTTGTGTGCTGGTGCTTCGGGTAAGAACAACCCAAGAACAGCAATGCAGCAATATGTCTTTGTTTATGTGCGTTTTTGCTGGAGATATGTGGCTGCCAAACGCTGTGAGTCTAGCAACAATGCACTCATCAGCACAAAAGCTTTGAAGGGGACCCGATTTTGATGTGTACTCAGTGTACTCATTTCAAGAATGGATTTTCGAGCACAAGTGTTCAAACACAATGTATGTTTGGCTGGTTTCAGAGTGACAACAGCATGATGCACTTGATGACCGAGTCTCTCGGCATACGTATACAGGTAGGTATGATCACTATATGTACATGTATGTGTATATAGAATGTTGTAGTATTTGTGCATATGGAAGCATGAACATATCAGTTGCACACGTTGTTCATGGTGGGAAACACGGGGTGTGTGTGTATATATATATATATTATGTACACAAGTAATATTGTGCATGTGTGCATATATATATATCTAGACATGCGTGTAGATACATGTTTGCAAATGTATAGATCACTCCCATGCCACATAGATT